CAATAATCACCAAATTCCTGACACGTCTGTCCATAAAGACTTTCACCTGACAAAAAGTCAAAACCGAAATACTAGGAATATGGACTTTAACTTACATTAAGCATTTTCCCCTCCATTACTGGTCGCTATTTTGGTACATTAAACCACATTAAGCTTTTTCACATGATTAAGCGTTTTAGAATGTCCCGAATATCAATGAGTCAACCGACTCTCACCAAATACACTTCGGAAAACCGAATATATATCAATGTGAAAAATTTATTGTGAAATGTAGGCTAATTCGAATTAAGTAACCATATAAAGTAATATTTTTATTATTTACAAATAAAAGGACACTAGCCCCGATTCCATCTTTCGTTTTCTTCCTTCAAAACAAACAAACAAAAAAGCCCGCAGGTAAATAGTTTGCAGAAATGCCCGCCGGAAGCACATGAGCTATATATATAGGATACTGTCTCGGTGTTCATTACTACTCCTTAAGTTGCCGAAGTCGTCCAAGCTTCCGAATATATAGGATATTGTCTCGGTGTTCATTACTACTCCTTAAGTTCCTGAAGTCGTCCAAGCTTCCGAATAGGCTACATTCTGCGAAAAAAGGTGAACATATTTGTGTGTCTCGAGGGAAAATGATTTACAAAGGCATTTTATTGGGCGTTGACACTACTATATTGTTGTTATTATTATTGTTATTAGTAGTAGCCTAGTAGTAGTAGTGTGGTGGTGGTGGCAGCGATGTTTTTCTTTGTGTTTTTTTCCGTTTTTTAGTTATGGTCAGTCCCGTTGTCACTTTTGGGGTTTTGGGGTTTATTGGAATAGCCTACTTTATGTTTCTTTAAGTTAGAAACTTCCAATTAATTGTTTTCGCTTTACTTCTTAAGTCTTCACTGAGTGGATACTTAGGCCTAATACATTTTTTAAAATGGTTTGAAAGTTAGTGCATTACATAATTATAGGGTAATTAGGCTATTCTCAGGCTGTTGTTATTAAAATGAAAAACTTCTGTAATAGTCGTTGTCGATAAAATTTCTCATTCAGTAAAAAAATCTTCCCGTGTGAAATACGTTTTCCACTCCTGCCGAAGAAGCCAAGTTGTCCTGTAGTAGTATTTTCGGATAAAATTAGATTTAAAGAGAAAAAAACAACAGTGGGTCTAACGAGACTTACGGTCGAACGGTCATTTCAGCATCGCGATGCGAAATTAAAGCTGATGGATTTGACGGTTTTTGTGAATCGAATTTATTCCAAGGCGAATTTCAATCAACTTTCAAATGTCAAAACAGGTAAAGCGTATTCATTAATCGATTTATAATTCGAAAGTGAAAGGCAACCCGTGTGTCGTCACGGGTTTAGTTTTCCTGGTTGCTTTAATTACTTCCGTAAATGAAAGCGATTTCATTCCATTTTATATCATTTTTATGTATCTAAGACAGGGGAAGGGCGTACTTTGTATCCCGTTATATTTTCTTGATTTTCTTTTCTAATCTCACCGTTGTCGTGTTCTCTGTAGGTTTACACGGACAGATGATGGAGTTTCAGTTTGTTCTGCTCGGGGTGGAGCAGGCTCTTGACACGAAGGACGTGGAGGCCCTAGCATTCCTGTGCAGTGACCTGCTCCGCAGGGACCTGCGCGGAGTTACCGCGGCCTGCGAGCTCTTCTCCATGCTGCAGAAGGAAGACCTCCTGTCCGCAGAGGATCCTTCTCTTTTGACAGAGCTGCTTACCATTTGCGGACATATCAAATTAATCCGTGAACATCGACTGCCTCCTGCCTCCAGTAATGTAACCTCCTACAGGTACCGGTTTCTTAGGGCCGATTTATATTTGACGCTCAGAACACATACGTGTACGCATCACGACTGCCACGCGTTTTCTGCGTTTATTCAACGCGTCGTAGGTGCGCCTACGCGAAGTTAACGCGACGCGTACGAGTGGCAGTACGGTCACCTTTTGTTGCGGGACTACTGTATGTGTTTATATACGGTAGTTAATACTAAAGTAATATCTGTTTTTTTAAGAACGAATGGCCGGAAGAACTGTATATTTAAATATTCAAGAAAGAACATATTGCGAGCACCATTGTATCTACAGCATCTTCAAAATTTAATTGTAGTTTAAGTTTCTAAGAAAGCATCAACCATGTGTATGAAGTACAATGAGACTCTAACTTGAAATTCTAACTTGCATATATACTGTCATCAGGGGCCCTTGGGGTGCAGGGGGCCCGTGGGGCCCCTAGCCCAAAACAATTTGCAACCCTTATCAACAATGTATTTTCGTTTGTCTATTTTAGAGGGCCTACATTCTTTGATCCTCTGCCTACAAGGGCCCCTGACCCTATAGGGCCTCTGATGGAAACATGGAGGGAGGGCGTTTGGCTGCCAAGGGCCCTTGAATTGTGGTGGTTGTGGTGGTGGTGCTGGTGGTGGTGGTGGTGGGAGGGGGCCCTCGCGAACGTTTTGCCCAGGGGCCCATACAACCCATAATCCGTCCCTGACTTTCATAAGCAATGTTATTTTTCAATACATTAACAATATTTATAAATCTTGATGATAAAATTCGCAGAGAGCGCGGGGTTTACGTTTAGCTAGAACATTTAAATTGTTATAGGAAACATAACTTAGCAAGCTGTGCAATTTTTATGACCGCCATTTTCTGGATTATCTAGTATATGTTTAACAGGTTGAAGTTTACCACCGCTATACTTTTGTATGAGCTGCGGTCTTCACACCATTCCTCATCATTTTCATCTTTGCTGTTTAAATCACTCGTGAATAGACATGTTTGTGGGAAATTAATTTATTTCCAACTATTTTTTTTCTTTACAAATACTGCAATACTTCTTGCAGAGACTGATATTTTCCAGTGTCGTGCAGTCTAATTACGAAATACTAACTGCTACAAGATGTCTAACAACATACAATACAGCATTCAACATGGGGTAGTAAAGTGATGAGTGGCAGAGCGAAGCACGACGTGGAGCAGTGGGTAGAATACGGAGAATGCAGCAGCAGTATTAAAAAACTAGTAACTCGAGCGTACATCATTTCATGTCACAACCCCATACAAAAACAGTGAGACCAGAAACGAAGGAGCCGACCAAGATGGATTTCTCGCACTGCCCCTGATGGACATGACCTTAAATCATCCAGATAGACGTAAACTATCACAGTCAGCCACCGAACATCATCTTCAAACATTAAGCAACGGAGCGAGTCTAGCCTCGTTATTTATTAATTAAACATATAACATAATGTTCGACACATTTCAGAAAGATGCTGTTTGAACTATCAGAAGAAATCACACAGGAGGACCTTAAGAGCATCAAGTTTCTGCTGCAAAAAAACCTTCCTCGGAGTAGACTGGATGAAACCACTGTAAGTGAATAATGGTCAAACCAGACTGCCCCGTCTGCCAAAACGGGGCAGCGTGTGTTTGTTAGGAGGGAGAAAACACTGCATGAAATATTGAGCCCTTTATTGTTACAGACGATGTTTAAACTGCTGCTGGAGATGGAGAAGGCAGACGAGCTTAGCCATAGCAACTTGGAAACACTGGAGAAAGTTGTCGGGAAGATTAATCCCAAACTGAAAAGCAAAATAAGCCATTATATGAAGACTCAGGGTAAGTTGTAGAGGGGCACTGTAGAATCTTTCGCAAATTGTGACTCATGCTGAGGTGTACAGTGGAGGCCAATTTTGAAGAAGCCAACAATGTCATAAAGTGTTAATATTAAGCATCATTAAAATAAATCTAACCGGCTAATTGTATGTAATGATTCCATGCTAAAATAACCTTTTTTGAGAAGCTGTGGTGTGCATGTTTTTTAATTGATTGTTTGCAGGGGTCCTTATCTATATAATTTGCCTATGCGCTTACCACAGGTTTGGCAGGTATTAAAATCACGGTTTGACCACCTACCCCTCACCCATGAAGGTCATGACATTTATTCCTGGCCACGGGGCTGCCACACGTGTGTGTCCTTGTTTGTGACACATCCATGTCTTGCAGGTACCCATTCTCAGGAGACTGGTGAGAGCAGGACAGAGAGTGTGAAGCTGTCTATGCCTGAGCAGAGTTTGCCTACTGAACAGGTTGTTTATATGAATGCACATCCCTCTCTATAGCCCAGTTTTTTATGAATACTTCACCAGTTTTTGTTGCCATTTTACTTTCATGGTCATATACAACCATGTATTTTTTTCCTCTTCAGAGTCCTCTTGTCTCTCACATCAGCCATACTCCAGGTATGTTTAATTTGCCTGATTCTTCCTTATTAGCAAAGCAAGTGCGAGTCAGCTTCAGACATCTCAAGTGTAAGTTAAACTTCAGAATGTTACTTGTCGGCAAAGAACAACCTTGCTGTGTTCAGCAGTCATGCAGGAGCTCATATGTGGCCCAGTGGAGACTGAATTCAGATCGTTATCCTTCAGCTTATCTCAGGTACCTGGAGCTTCCCCTGCCGCCCCTCTCTCTCTCTCTCTCTCTCTCTCTCTCTCTTGGTGCATTCTGGGAGTGTGATTGAGGGCGCGTGTGGGGTGAGAGGGCATCTGTTTGGGGATTTTCTTTTTGCGCTCGTGACATACAGCTTGTTTTTTTTTCTTTTCTTACCGGCTTTGAAATAACTGTTTGGTTTGTGTCAGTATCATTGTCTTTGACGGTTTTTGAGGTCGGGTGCTGGGATGCCCTCCACCCCCGACGCGGGTCCACCGTCCCTCTCACTCTGTCACCGGGTCAGGTGTGTGCCTGATCCCGGGATAGTTGTGGAGGACGTGTTTGAAGGGGTTGGGGAATTGATTGGGTATGAGAATGTGCTTTTTCCGCTTCGTGTATGAACAAAGCCGTGGTTATTTTTGTTACTGTGGAAACTTTTGTTCAGCGCCTGATCGAGCAGGGAGTCAGGATAAGTGGAAGTCTTCTCCTGGTTCCTCTGCTGGTTGCACCGGCAACGAGAGTCATGATATCGAGTGTTCCACTGTTTATAATCATGCATGTGTCACTAATGCTAATGTGAAACAGCTGGATGAGTCTTTCACTCAAGAAAACAAAGCACAGGAAAAGCTGAACTATTTAGCCGAGCACAGGAGCCTTTCAGTTTGAAAGTAGTCTGTAAAACCCGAAGTAGGTCAAAGTGTTCTCCCTGACATGGATTATCTGGTCACCCTAGTAGTGTCTTTTAGGAGACAGGTGCTTATGTTTTTAAGCGAGCCCAGCTTGGATGTTTCTTTTAGGGTGATGTTTGCGGGGAGAGCTTATATGCTTTATGCGAATATGGGGAGTATGAAGTGTTTTGGATGTGGGGATATAGGGTTGGGAGTGGTGAGAGACCAGGTCCTAGCTCTGTACCTGCGCCTCCTGCAGTTGTGGATGCACCTGAGCCCAGTCTGGGGGAGCTACAGGTTGAGGCTGGTTGTGCACAGGAGGGGGCTGGGGATGGTCACAGTGATAAGTCTGTGGTGACTGCACAAAGTAGTGAGAGTGTGCAGGATAGTGTGGGTGGTGCGGTGTTTGTCGGGGAGGTTCGGGGGGCTCGTGAGTGTGTGCTGGAGGACGGTGGAGCTGGTGACAGGTGTTGGTAGAGATGAGGTTCAGGGTGAGGTGACTGATGTTTCTGTTATTGAAGGCGGATCTGGGGATGATGCAGAGGATGTGGACGGTGATGCTTTTTCGGACGTTTTGGATTTTGCGTCTCAGGGTAGAGATGATGCGAGCGTGTATTCTCTCCAGAAGGTTAATGATTTCTTAGGTGGCACTTACGGTAAGCCCTCTGACGTGTCTGACGTTTTTCCGGATATGAGTAAACTTGAGGCTACGATAGTGAGAATGGTGAAAACTGCAACGTGTGATGAGTTGACTCAGAAAACGAGGTTTCAAATTAAGAAGATTTTGACCAGGATACGAAAGGGGAAAAGCCCCTGCTTTATGTTTGGGGTTGGAATGAGTGTGTTGCTGACCCTTTTTTTCCCCTCTCATCTGTTCCTTTCTGCTCATTTGTTTTCTCTTTTATCTATTTTTCTATGGAGTGTATTAAGGTTATCTGCATGGGACCTTGTCGATAGACCAAGAGAAGGCATTCGACAGGGTTGACCACGGCTACCTTTTCAGTGTGTGAAAGTGTCTTTGTCTCTCTCTCTCTTTCTCTCTCTCACACGCCTTAAAAAGCCAGAAAGAGTCAGCTTGTCTCCTTCAGTCATAGATGATTGTTCTGTCTTGCAGGCATCCAGCTGTTGCAACCGCCAAAGTAACTCCAATGGTGAGTCCTGATTTTTAAAGGTGAAGCAAAATCATGTCACCCTAACTACATTCACTTATTTGTCATTCATGTGCTGGTTGCGTGTGTGTAAGTTTGCATGATTTGAGGGCGGTGTACAGCTCAGCGGGCTAAAGGCTGATTTATATGTCTGCATCGAACCGATGCCATAAGTATGGCACAGCCGCGTACCCTACGGCACAGCCGCGTACCCGACGGCACAGCCGCGTACCCTACGGCACAGCCGCGTACCTTACAGCACAGCCGCGTACCCTACGGCACAGCCTGACAGGCGCCTCCCCTGAAATGTAACTGCAAATCGTGACGATACAGACTGCAGCAGCTGTCATTGGTCTGCTTCGTAGCATCACACTTCCTCCTGTACAAAACCTTCTTGTTGCTTGTTTCCAGCTGAGGGTTTTTTTACCTTGTTGTTTAGCTTGTTGCCGGCCAGCTGTTTTTGCAATGGCTGCAGCCATTCATGCTGTTAAAAAAACACGGCTGCAGCCAGTTATGCTAAGGCTGCACGATATTAGAAAATTTCACATATCGCAGTGTGATTTATTTATTGATTTTTTTGTGTTAAATATTATGATATTCATAAACCAAAAATGAGTGATTTAAACGGCAAGGATGGGGACGTATGCAGAGCTCATGCAAAAGCAGCAGCAAACTCTTAAAAGTATGCTAGATAATTTTGAAAGAATAATTAAAATCGCAAAGCTTGCTAAGTTTTGTTTCCTGTTAGAGTAAAAATGTTTTAGTAAAACTTAAAGCCACCGCACTTAGCCAAGTAGGGTTTTGACAGTGTAATTGCAGAGCGACACAGAAACACCAGTGCACCATTAAAAGGCTTGCAGTGGTACGGGCCACTTGCACTGGCTATGGTGCAGAAGCTTAAATCAGTCTTAACCCTCTGTGCCGGAGATCAGAAGGTCACCGGTTTTACGGTTTGACCCACGGCCTCAGCAGCATGTTAACATGTCCGAATAATTCTATTGTATAAGAAATAAACAAATGGATGTCAGGAGGTTTATCCTGGATGCTGGAACCACGTCTGTAGAACATGTAACATATTCAGATATGCTGCTTCTTGAATGTAATGTAGGGTGCAGGCTCCTGACAAGGCCTTGTGCCCTCCAGCCCTCAGCGGGAACGTTTCTGAGGATGAGTGAATGTAAGGGATTTGACTTTGTCCTGCTCTTAGATGGTGGACCTGCGGAAACACTAAGCAGTACAAACCCGCTTCGCGCGGAGGCATCTGACTCTACAGGTGAGCTCTGCCTGCCGTCGACTCGACATGCCACCTGTTCTCCTGTCCTCCCGCAGTGGCACCCTCGTGTCACTCTGCTGCTTCCTAAGTGTATAGCCAGCTGCTTCTTCATTCTGCTATACCTGAGAAAATAAACTTTGCTGTCCTCCAGTAGACCATAAGCCAGAAGCCCTAGACACACCCTTGGATGACCAGGTATTGCTCCCTGTTCCTCTGGTACAGAATTTTATATTCTTATGATTGAAGGGACTCAAAGTCATGTGGTATAAGAATATGTGACCAGTAAGTTTGAATGTTTTACACTGTATTGTGTTGTACACTTTCAACTGTTTCTCTAAAGGCCTTGGGTGTATATGAGATGAAGGGAGAGAAAAGGGGATTCTGTTTAATCATAAACAACTATGACTTCTCAAACTCACAACCAAGTCTAAACATTAGGGAAGGAACACACAAAGATGCGAGTAAGTGCTGATTCCAAATTGGATTTGAAGGACAAAATGTAAATGATTAAAAACGACAAGCATATAAGACAAACATCTACCTGCTTTCCAGAGAACCTGGAGGATGTGTTTCGTTGGCTTGGATTTGAAACATCGGTTGAGCATGACTGCAGCCACGAAAAGATCCTGTCCCTGCTGCAGAGCCTGAGAGACAAAGACCACACCCTCATGGATGTTCTGGTGTGCTGTGTGCTCAGCCACGGCCAGCTGGGGGCCGTCTACGGGGTGGACGGGAGAGTGGTACCGCTCAAGGATCTGACAGAGCCTTTCTCAGGCAGCCGGTGCCCTACGCTAAGGGACAAGCCCAAGTTATTCTTTGTGCAGGCATGTCAAGATAAGCCGAGGCAGACGTGTGCATCTGTCCAGGCCGACGGAGACGTTGACAGTGACGCCAGAGTGCCCAAGGACTCCCTCCATGATGCGGCAGACATCCTGTTAGGCATGTCCTCTGTGCCCTACTCCCTTTCGTACAGAGACGGGAAACAGGGAACCTGGTATATCCAGTCTCTTTGCCGAAATCTGCTGCAGCTGGTACCCAGGTCAGTGCCCCAGCACCCTTGCAGAATATATTTCTGATTTTCCTGAATCAGAATTTCCATTTCCATGTTGCAAGAGTTGGCTGCAAAAATGACAGTGAATGCACGTTTATATGCATGAACTTGAGAAATGCTGAAAAGTGGTTCACCATTTTAGTGTGCTAGGACTCCTACTTTTCTCATTCTCCAGAACTGTGTAACACACCTTCTTGATTTTGTAAAGAGCAAATAGCTAAGGCATAAAATAAACGTGTGGTTCCTTTGGTCTGGCGGAACTGAAGATTCTACAAGAGCTACCATCATATGTGTATATGTCAATTTCGGTTAAGCGGTGTTTTCTATCTTTAATCCAAATATACATCCACAGGAAAATATCATATAAACTATTGTTTTGTAGTTCAACAGCTTTGCTTTTTGTAATATATTTGAAAATACAGCATTTGATAATCTGGAATGCAAAAGGCAGCAGTGAGCTCATCCTTTTTTCTTTTTTGGCCAGAGAGGCAGACCTGCTCTCCATCCTGACAGAGGTCAACAACGACGTCAGCAAAATGTCCGATCAGACAGGCACCAAAAGGCAGATACCCCAGCCCGCATTTTCACTACGTAAGAAGGTTGTCTTCCCTGTACCAAAGGCACCAGCCCCTTCGCTGAGCAAGTGAAGAGTCCGACATTAAATCAGCGTATCTCAAGAATACAGCAACGCACAGAATGTTATTGTGTCTGACTTTATTTAAAAAAAATAAAATTTTATTAAAATATTTCTACTTAAGATTCTTTGCTTCAACTGTAGCAGAAAAACAACATATCAGACCAAGGGAGTTTGTCTTTTTTTGAACTGAAAGTCCAGGAAATGAGCAGACATAGAAAATCCTCAATTTGTTCATTCAGCATCAGAAAGTGCATTAGAAAGTGGTTCTGGGGCTCTGATGAAAGGGGATGAGATCCAGCAGGGTCCACCCTCAGTCCACAGGCAGAACCAGAGTCTTGGTCAGTGTGTACCTGGGCTCAGGCATCTGCTTGAAGTCCGGGTAGCTTCTGAGGCCTACCTCCCGATTCACTATGGTCAATATTTCCAGGATGGTTTTTTCCCTACCAACAAAGAAAATGCAGACATGTAATAAGAACAAGGCGGCCGTCCCTCCCCCCACATTTCCTGCAGCCCAGCCCACACACCTTCGGCAGCCTTCCTTCAGCTGCTTACACAGCTCCTGTATATAGATGGAGCCAAAGCGGACATGGCGGAATGACTGGAAATCCGCCACAGTAGCCATGCCCAGCAGGAAGTCGGAGTCATCCGGGATTTGCAGGGTGTCCCTGCTGCAGATTCCGTCGTCGCCCCCATCGCCATCAGCCTGGATATACGTGCCCATCTGCTTGCTCTTGCCCTGACAGGCCTGGATGAAGAACATTTTGGGCTTGCCTGCTAAGGAGGGGCAGTTGCTGCCTTTGAACGGCTGGGTGATTTTCTGGATGAGGATCGGCTGGCCATCCGTGCCAAAGACGGAGCCTTTCTCGCCATGCGAGAGGATACAGCAGACAAAGGCGTCCTTGGAGCTGTGGTCCGATGTTCCAAATCGATTCACAGTGTTCAGAATTTCTGTCGCAGTCAAATCCTGGTATTTCTGCACCTCAAAATGCAGCCAGCTGAAGACTGATGATAGGTTGTCTAAAGTCAAAGGGACAGAGTGGGAAGTTAGTGAATTCAGATACCCGTTTTGCTCTGGAGAGTTTCTGTCAGCAATTTCAAAACATTATACCTATCAGGGCATATTTTGTGGAAAAAAATTTGGTTGGGGCAGACAACTAAAATGCTTGTATGTTCAGTGTTTCCCCTACCATTATATTAGGGGGTCCAACGACACCTCCCGTCCCCCCGTTGAAGGTCAAGTTAATTTTACTTTCTATATAGCGCCAGATCACAACAGAAGTCATTTAAGGTTACCTTTCCTATAGAACAGGTCTATACATTGTCCTTTTATTAAACAAACTAAATAGCTTTATCTTATTTACACAACAGCTTGTCATATTTGTCTCTACACGGTCACAGGTTTACAATTCTCCTCTGCTCTCTGTGTCACGTATGGCGGAGCTCCGCCCTGATGCGCGCACACAGACACATGCTCACCGACCAGCGGACAGAGTGTGTGCCTTGGAAAATATGTCACGCCAACCACCCGAAAAGCAGACAAAAATATACCACAGTGACAAAAGCTGCAGACTTTGTGGATAATTGTCATAGAAATAAATGTTCTGATGTTTAGTTCAGTTGTTATATTGACTGCTGGTATTAAAAGAAACACATGAACACCATGAATCCTGTCGGTGTCTGTCTGCCCTCCCCCCACAAAAAAAAACTGTAAACCTAGAGGAAACACTGATGTGATGATTATTACACTCATAAAATACATATAAGATCAGGCTTTTGTTTGAGTATTCAAGCTTTTCATTGACATTCACCTATTTAGCTAACTGAATATCTAGGGTACTCCTCATTCAGGAATGACATGTTCATGTATTTCTCCAGGAGGCAAAATGTACACATTTCAGGCATAAAACTGTGTACAAGCCAATAGAAATTTACCAGTTGAGTATGAACCAATCTGCATTTTGGAAACGCGTAATAGCATTACACGCCCGTCTTCATCTGAACATTCCCTTCACTTAAGAGCAGGTGTGCACACAACCTGGAGGACACCCTCTTTACATTGTGTAGCCCTCACCAGCGTCCTTATCTGTACCATTACGGTTTCCCAGCTGACTGGCCTTCGCAAATTTATAGTTGTTGATGATGAGACAGTATCCACGTGGACGATGAGTCATGTTATAACAGTCCTGTAACATCAGAGGATGAATGTAGAGCACAGTAGTACAGATTTTACATGGTAAAAAACATGCAACAACAAATTTGCAAATAACTTGTGGTTGTCATCATACTGAGGCAAATTTACCTTCTCTAGGTCTGTTCTGCCAGGTCCCGTATCTGCGAAAAGACTCATTCCTCCCTCACTACTGACTGGACTCATAGCTGGCAGAAAGAGGAAAGATTTAATGTACCACATATAGCTTTATAATAACTGACGACATGGTAAAAAGATCTTATGTTTCAGGCACAGGCAAGAGAAACACAAGGCAAATCAAAGAATAAGATCTCAAGATTGGTGCATTGGTATTGCATCTTCTCATGATTTTTGTTATATGACTCAGATAAACTTACTAGAGGAAGGTGACTCTTGGACAGATGGTACAATCTGAAACGGGAAACATGCTCCTTAAAAAAAAAAAAATTTATACACACACACACACACACACACATATACACACACACACACACACATATACAC